GGAGACCTGTCAGACAGTGAAGATGGATTTAACAGTGCTCATTTTGGCAAATCACATGCCAACAGGCAACTTGGGACAGACTGCAAGATGAGTGAGAGAAAGTCTTTTAAGCATGGGGCTATTCCACCTTTGGTCAGAAACTGGCAGCAGCAGCATAACTAGGAAATTTGATAGATTGCAAACTCCAAAGCACCTCCCCAGAGCTGCTGAATCCAAATTTGCATTTTAACAAGATCCCCAGGAAGTTCCTCTGCACATAAAGATTTGAGGGGTGGTCCCAAACCTGGTTAATTACCTCAGTCCCTCTGGGTCACTGTTGCTGTAATGTGTTACCCCTCCCTGTAAAATAAAGCTCCAGGATTTTCAGAAAATTCCAGCATCCTTCCTTTGCAATTACTTTTAGAAGTAAAAATTGACAGAGTGAATACAGACATATATATTAAAACCATTTGAACACTCCCTGTGTGCCAAGCTCAGAGTTCTCACACAGATAAAACGGCTCCCAAGCCAGCACCCTCCATCACCAGGAGCACCTTCTTGCTGCCTTGTTTCTTTTTTCAAAGGAAAACATAACCTACAGAGAGTACAAATTGTGGGGGAAAGTATTGGGCTGCCTAAAGCTCTTGTGTGAATGCACTCTGACCATACCTACTCTGCTGATGTCATGCTGGTTGTTTCAAGGACTGAACCCTTGGTTTTCCTATCAACTCTGGGTCAACTCAAGCAGAACACTTCTTGGGTATTAGTGCATCCCTGGCAGCAGATAAACTATTTTGAAGGGTGAAATATAGATTCCTCTTGGAATGGGATTTTGGCACTGGGAAATTCCTAGATTATGGTTAAAATGAAACTTTAAAACATAGAGAAAGACAAGTTTTGCTGAAACCTGTGGCAGAAAGAAAAGAGAAAGAAGAAAGAAACATTCTCTTTAAGTACATGGCTTTGTCTACTTTATTCAAGGCTGTATTTTCACCATCTGGGATATAGTAAGTACCCATTAAAACAGTTGCTGAATGGCCCTAAAATATATAAACTCATCTTCATTGTCACTGCTTAATATGACAGCAAGTTATGTATCATCCTTTTGAGAGTATGGGCATGCCGAATATTTCCTGCAGTCTTTTTAATAAATTCCTTTAGTTAAGATAACCCTTAGCTTATCTTTTCAGTTGTCCTTTCAACTAGTTATACATAAACAACTAGTGTTTTGATCATCCAAGAACTATGAAATCCAGAAAAAAAGAGTATCTGTGTGTTCGCATAAACTACTTTTAATAGTCTGATTTAAAAAAAGAAAACAGAATTTCAGAAATAAAAACCCACCCATAGGAAGTGAAATATTAGTTATAACCTTGACACAAATATGTGTGTGTACCTTTTTTCATTAAGACATGAGCTTCACCCTGAGAATTCCACTCTGTGAATAGTGAGCTGTGAGCCTCTGATTTTTGCCAACCCAAAAGCTTATTTGAAAGTGAAATGTGTATTTTCACAAGACTTCACCAAGCTACCTTTCTTTCTCTTCTATCTTGGCTTTGCCTACAGACCTGCCTGACCATGCTCTGAAGCAAGGTCTGCCCGATATATGTATTCTCTGAAAGGCTTCAGAGATCGTGGTATTATTGATCAACTGAATGCGGCTCCCCCTTAGGAAACATGAGACCTGTTCCCTTCCCCAAACTAGATTCATATGACAGAGGGCTCTGGGAAGAAGAAGTTTTGTTACGGGATGCAGGATCATAGCGTTCTCTTCCCAGGGAAAGAGGAGGGTGCCCAGATTTAGCCCAAGTCAAATCCGCAGGTACACCATCCGGAATAAAAACAGCGTGCTAACCCCAAGCATAATCGTAGGTTATAAAGCGGCTTTATACAGAACCGGGGAAACTCTGAACAAAAAGGGAGAGAATGGGGACACTCGCCAAGGAAAGCTTTGGGGGTCTCAGTACTAGGTGGGTTTAAAATAAAGGGTGACCAGGGAAAATATCTGTTTTCAGTCTGAGTTACCCGTGAACTTTTTCCTGGAGAGAAGCTCCTGGAGCAATTTACAGCAGACCAACCAGAGACTATTGTGCCAGACACTCTGAATAAACCTTTAGAAACCGAAGCTGCCAGGGAGGACCAGGATTGTATAGGAGAGGTAGCACCTCCAAAAACCTAGGCGCTGGAGAAGGAAAGCGAATCCTAGGCTGGATGAAAGTCCCTGATTCCTGCATAGCTCCCGGTTTCGGATTCTGAGCTGCTCGCCTTCTCCCACCCCGGTCCTGGAGGCCAAGAGCAGAGTGGAACTCCAGGCAGTGTCACACGCCACCCGACCTTCCCCGAGAATTCCTAAACTTCCGAGGAGGGAGGAGGCAGGTTCGAGTTTGCGCATAACTTCCAGGGACTCCAAAGAAATGCCAACCCCCTGAAGGCCCTTTCGGAGAGATCCAGAACCGCAGTGCGCCCGGTAGACGGAGAAAAGAGGGCGGGATAAATGAAGGCTCGGGTCACATCCGTAGGCTGTGAGGCCGACAGGGGGCGCCCTATCGCTGCGGACGCTACTGCCAACCACACTCCCGGTTTCCCGCAAAAGCCGGCCACCGAAAGTCGGAGAACTCCCAAGCTCCGCTCTTTAAGAAAATAGCGCCCCTACTCCGTGGACACCTTCTCCCGGGCCCGATAGCTCCTTTTGCTCAATAAATAATTTCTAAAACCATATTTCGACCAGGAACCAAAAGAGAAAAGAGACTGGATACTCATACACATGCATAGACCAAAATATTCTTTTGCATTTTCAATTCCATACACTCCAGAAAGCTATCTGTCGCTATTTCACGAGTTTTGTCTGTCTGGCGTCTCTTTTCTACTGAATGTAAGAAGCACCCATGGGGAGGAGAAAAGGGATTTAAGGTAGTAATGGTGGTGGCAGTGGTGTGCATGCCTTTGTGCCTTAGGCTTGCGCACAAAGTTTTGACAACAGGCAACTCCTCCAGTGCGCAACTGTCGTTCCCAAGTCCCCAGAACTCCGTAATAGATGCTGATGATCTGGTCCCTCTGGTTCCCCTTTGCATGCCTACAGTAAGTATGTATATACTCCTCCTGGAAGCCCTAGGCGCTACGCATGGCTTTAGGGCAACGCAGACTTTGGCTTTGGGGAACCCTGCCCTATAACTCGCTTTTCTAGTTCATTAAGGCCCTCAAAACGAATCAGTCAAACCATCCGGCGTTTCTTTGGTTCAAAGATACGGGAAGGCCCTAGGGACTTGGAATAGAGGGAAGGTGTAGGAGTGCCCTGCATCTACTACTTTTCCTTGTTTACTTTCTAGCCTTTATCCAGTGCTTCCCTTCCCAATGTTCATCCTTCTGCCTGCCATCACCGTTGTCTTTTGCCACCATTACCTACAACTTTGGAGAGGTGGGCCAGATGCCCATAATTTTCTAGTTTTTCCTCTATCTCTGAAGTGGAAGTCTCAGGGCTAGATCTTCAGGCTCCCAGGTGCGTTTTTAGAATCAAGAAATGGAGCCCGCTTCCAAACACCTGTAGTATCACCACCCTCCCTCCCAAATTTAGGCTCACTGGGGTCTTCAGGCTGCTCCAGGGCAGGTGATAATTTGGACCCAGAAGCTGGAGCAAAAATTAAAAGGAAGTATACGGTTGCTGGGGTTTCTAATTCTTAAAAAACAGCTTCCCCGGGAAAGCGGAGAAGAGAGAAACCCTCCGGAAGAGATTCCCTGTGCCGCGTATTGACTCCTTTATTCTTTTCTCTTCTCGTGCCTCACTCCTACCTCCTGCCCTGTTTGTTTTAGTTGCAAAATTCTGTGGGCACCTGCAGGTTGCACTTGTGGGTAGCTAAAATTCTGTAGGTTGTGACTTAAACGTAACCTTGAAACATGGTGTCCTGAATGTTAGAGACAAATTACGGTCTCCCAACCATCGGCTGCAGCTGGAGGCCTCGTTCGCCCAGCTCAGGGACAGCGTTCCTCCCCGCTGGCCGCCCCACATTTGGATGCAGGAGGCCGGGCTCAGATAAGACAAAAAGCCGAAGTGGCCAAACCGGGCGCGCTCCTCGCCTTCCGGGGCGGTTCCCAGTCTTAACAGTAATAGGGAGGGGCCTCCCATAGCTGCGGCAGGCGAATTAAAGGTGTGTACACAATTTTTCTAAATACTACAGCGCTTTGCAAACTGGCTCTGTCAATGTCTTGTTGTTTTAACCGAGAATGAGCGCTGAGAAAGAAGAAACCGGGATAAATAAATGAAGCTTTTATAGTTCTGCAGAAGGAAACTGAGCCCCGAGGCTGGGCGCGCCCTCGGACAGTAGCAAGGGGCACCAAGCGCTATGGGAGAGGGCGGGGGTCAGGGCCCTAGGAAGCTCCTAGGGTGGCTTCCTCCCAAGGATTTCCTTCCAAGGCCGCTCAGGGTGAACGCGGAAGAATGAGGGTGGTAATGGGAAGCCCTTGCTCCCACCCCGCTAGATCGCCTGTAGCGTCACCGAAAGCAGGCGCGGAGTTCTGCGGGCGCCGAGGAGCAGGTGCGGGGCGCGGGCCACAGCTCCCTCTCACCTAGGTGTGAGCTGATTATTCAAATTTGCTGTCCGGGGTCTGGGGATTGGAGGCCCGCGCCCGCGCGCCTGGCTATATCACCAGCCGCCCACGTCACTGCGGCACTTGTCGGCTCCACGATCCACACCTCCTCCTTCACTCTCCACCCCACCCCACCCGCCCCCGCGCCACGAGCTTCCCGCCACCTCCTGGCAGCTCCGCACTGCCAACCTCAGCCTCCATCGGCAGCCCGCGAGCGTGACGGCAGCGCGCTGCGGGCACCAGGTCTCTAGTCCGGGCCACCTCCGGTCCTCAGCCCCCTCCACCCGCCACCTACCCCTCCCGCCCACTTCCAACTACCGCCTCTGGCCAGCCCCAGCAGAGAGGGAGTGGAGGAGAGAAAGAGGGAGCAAGAGAGAGGGAGGGAGGAGACAGTGCCACAGCCGACTCTGTTTTTAAAGGTGGCGGGGGCGCGGGGGGGGGGCGGTGATTGCCGGTCGTTTGTTGTGGCTGTTAAATTTTAAACTGCCATGCACTCAGCTTCCAGTATGCTGGGAGCGGTGAAGATGGAAGGGCACGAGCCGTCGGACTGGAGCAGCTACTATGCCGAACCGGAGGTAGGCACTCGCCTTTTCCGGGAGGGACTTGGGGTGACCGCTCCTGCTTTTTCCCCAACCTCGGGACTGCTTTCCTTGCCCGCCCCTGCCCCCCACCCACGCACCCCCAGCAGCTCTGGGCAGCCGTGTTTTCTACCCTACTTCCACTCAAATGGGTCTCTTTTTTATAGAACACACTGTTAGCCTTGAGATAATATTAACTTTGTGATCAAATATTGACTTGCGGCGCCTCCAAATCCTCTTCGTGGCCGAGCCACGCACTATCCTAACAGAGTTATGTTTGGCAGCGCGCGGCTAGGGAGGGGTGGGAGGTCGGGGACAAGGGGGGTTAGGAGCTGGAAAACAGAAGGTGGGCAGAAGTTGGGGGCTGAGGTAGAAGCAAAGAGTAAAACACTAGAGGACAAAAGAAAGTTTGTGGCTGCAAAACACAGCCGCGTGTAGTTCAGTTTGCGATCTCCTCCTTATCCTTTCATTCAGTGCCTCCAGCGTGCCCCAGACTCTGCTCAGACACTAGGTTTAAGTTCCCCTGGGGCTAAGAATCTGGTCCCATAAAGAAAACTGAGAAGAGAAGACTCTGGGACAATCTCTTGAGGCTGCCCTGGTCGCCCTGCTAGGGGTATCACAGACTGCTTGCTAACATCGAGGTGGGGTCTGGGGCCGCGGCGGGAACTCAGTATACTGGCGGAAGGGTTGGAGCCACTATAGAGAGGGCGGATGCATTTGAGGTGCCTAGCTTGGGGATGCTTCAAGTGACCCTTGTTTTAAAATCTGAGCCAGGCAGAGAAGGGCTAGAAACCAGACACACGCACTCTCAGAGACAGCGTTCCTCCCCGCTACAGAGTAGCATCCCGCTGGCTACCTCCCCAGGGGCTATCAAGGCACTCTCTGACTGAAAAGGACTTGGAGGGGACCAGGAGAGGGGGATGGTGCAGGCAAGAGAAGGACTTCCCGGAGGCCCGGGCTTGAGCTGGCCGGGTGTCTGGAAGGTCAGGGCGCGCTCAAGCCTTGGTGCTAACGCTCTGTGCCTCCGTCCCTGGGTTCTTGTCCGCAGGGGTACTCCTCCGTGAGCAACATGAACGCCGCCCTCGGAATGAACGGCATGAACACCTACATGAGCATGTCGGCAGCCGCCATGGGCAGTGGCTCCGCTAACATGAGCGCTGGCTCCATGAACATGTCGTCGTACGTGGGATCGGGCATGAGCCCTTCCCTAGCCGGCATGTCCCCTGGGGCAGGAGCCATGGCGAGCATGGGAGGCTCGGCCGGGGCGACCGGTGTGGCTGGCATGGGACCACACCTGAGTCCGAGCCTGAGCCCACTTGGGGGACAGGCAGCGGGGGCCATGGGCGGCCTGGCCTCTTATGCCAACATGAACTCCATGAGCCCCATGTATGGGCAGGCGAGCCTGAGCCGCGCGCGGGACCCCAAGACGTACCGGCGCAGTTACACGCACGCTAAGCCCCCCTATTCGTATATCTCGCTCATCACCATGGCGATCCAGCAGAGCCCCAACAAGATGCTGACGCTGAGCGAGATCTACCAGTGGATCATGGACCTCTTCCCATTTTATCGGCAGAACCAGCAGCGCTGGCAAAACTCTATCCGCCACTCGCTCTCCTTCAACGACTGCTTCCTCAAGGTGCCCCGCTCGCCCGACAAGCCTGGCAAGGGCTCCTTCTGGACCCTGCACCCGGATTCAGGCAACATGTTTGAGAACGGCTGTTACTTGCGCCGTCAGAAGCGCTTCAAGTGCGAGAAGCAGCTGGCCCTGAAGGAAGCAGCAGGCTCCACGGGCGGTGGAAAGAAGGCGGGCTCAGGGGCTCAGGCCTCGCAAGGTCAACTCGGGGAAGGCTCAGGGCCGGCCTCCGAGGCAACGGTGGGCACCGAATCACCCCGCTCGAGGGCCTCTCCGTGCCAGGAGCACAAGCGAGGGGTCATGAGGGAGTTGAAGGGTACGCCGGCCACGGCATTGAGCCCCCCAGAGACGGCGCCGTCGCCGGGGCAGCAGACGCAGGCCGCGACTCACCTGCTGGGCCCTCCTCACCATCCCGGCTTGCCTCCGGAGGCCCACCTTAAGCCGGAGCACCACTATGCCTTCAACCACCCTTTCTCCATCAACAACCTCATGTCCTCCGAGCAGCAGCACCACCACAATCACCACCACCACCAACCCCACAAAATGGACCTCAAGGCCTACGAACAGGTGATGCACTACCCCGGCTATGGTTCCCCTATGCCCGGAAGCCTAGCCATGGGCTCAGTTACGAACAAAGCGGCCCTGGACGCCTCACCCCTGGCGGGGGACACCTCCTACTACCAGGGAGTGTACTCTCGGCCCATTATGAACTCCTCCTAAGACAGCTGCTGACCCCACTAGCCCGGACAAAGACAAGAGAGAGAGGAAGTGGGGTGGAGACTTTGAGGTAGGGATGTTGGAGAGATGCAGGGGAGAAGAAATCCAAGACACTCCCACCCCCAGAAAGCAGTTTCCCCTTACCCTCTGCAGCTCTTCCCTCCTGAATAGATGGGCCACGCTGATATGTATCATTCCATATAAGGAGGGAAAAAGATAAACAGTCAAAAATACAAAAAGAAAAAGGCTTCCAGTTTCTGCTACTGTGTAGATGCCTGCTTCTTGCAGCATCTGCGAATTCTGATTTTTGTTGTTGTACTCTTTCATTGCTGTTGTTGCAGGGAAGTATTACTTTATTTAAAAACAAAACAAAACGAAAAAAAACACACACACAAAAACAAAACAAAACAAAAAAAAATTCCACAAACTTTTGTGAGTCAGTGTAAAGCAATGTAGTTTTAACAGAGAACCAGAGAATTGTACCATTGATTAAAAAGAGAGGGGGGGGAAAGATGTAAGGGTCTGTTTTAAATGACCAAGGAAAAATATACATTCCTATGTTTGACACAGTGAAATCCAGGTCTCGGGTCTGATTAATTTATGGTTTCTGTGTGCTTTATTTATGGCTTGTAAATATGTCTTCTGGCTGCAAGGACCAGAGTTCCACAAATATATATTAAAGTGTTATTGCCGGTTTTAATCCTTGAATCGTCAATATTTTTTTCTTTGCCTGATTTAAAAAATAAATAAATAAATAAGTCTAGAAATTAGTGGAGGGAGGAAGATCCAGTCAGGTTGCAGGATATATTTTGAGGAAGGATTGTCATTTTACCAACATTTTATTAAATTTTTCAGATATATTGGATTCGAATGGATTTTACAGGCGTGCTGACTGTTGTGGCTAAGTTGGTTTGGTGTCCTCCCTCAAAGTGAAAGGTCACGTTTGATTCCCAGAGCATATGACTGGGTTGCAGTTTAGTCCCTGGTTGGGCAATGGAGAGAGGCAACTGATCTGATGTTTTTCTCTCACGTCAATGTTTTTCTCCTTTTTCTCCCTGTCTTCCCCCCTCTCTACAAATAAATGAATAAAACCTTTTTAAACACAGACACGTACCCATTGCCCAGATGCTGCAATTATTTCACTATACTTGTTGTATTGTATATCTGTCCTATCTACAGTCCACTGATCAATTCGTCTTATATTTTAAGGGCATGTCACGGTATATTTCAGACATCAGTACACTTCCCCCTAAGCACTTCAACAAGCACATCATTTAAACAGAACTCAATATTATTAATGGTTACTTTTTGAATTTTGAGTTTATCTTTACAAGCAATGAAACCCAAATGTCAGGTTAACCATTCCATGGGTTTGATGCAGATTTATCTTTCAAGTCAGGTGCAAACCACATACCCTGATTTTCTACCTGGGCCATGTGAAGGTTCAATGTTGTTCATATCTCTTGGTCCCTAGGTCTGGCTTTTCTGGGAAGAAAACTGGATTTTACATGTTTTGCTGTATTTTCCATCTTAGCTTCCCCTTCACATAAGCCCAGATTCAATTTGCGAATTCCTGGGGCAGCATTTGGCCTTTTCATTGCTGCCTCTCTGTGGCACCCCTTTACCTTTCTATGGAATTGGACCTCTGTGTCTACACTCCACAATTCTATTTTGGCCTCATCTTTACTTAGGTGTTTTGCACAACTTTGGTAGACCTCGTTAAAGCCTGACAGCAGTGAGACATCTGGAAATGGATGGCTTTTTCCTGGAATTATAAAAGGATAGATCATGCAGGATGATGTTCTGGATTTCCATTTAAAAATAAGGTATATTTGAGATGAGGGGGGAGTAAAAGGGTGTATTTAGGGGCTTGCAAAGTGACGGTACCCAGTGGAGAGATCCCGGAGTTTGCATGGCCTTCTTCCTCCTCTCCCCACAAACACCAACAGCTTGCATAGCACCCAGTTGGCCAAGTTGGCAAGCCAAGATTTTTGGGGCAGAAAGGATGAGGGCTATTTTGTGAGCCTTAAAGGAAAATTCAAATGCATAAAGAAATACTCAGAATAAATTCTTACAATCATGCTGTCTCTCCCCACAGACACCCTAATTCTGTGGTCAATCGCAGTGGAAACCCCGGAAGTGAACCGGGCCAAGGTGTACAAAGAGGGCCCCGCTTCGGCTTTACCGGGGGCATCTGCGGGCCTGCAAGCTGGCTAGCTGTCTGGGGGAGGTCAGGAGCGAGTGTTGTCATGGGCCTTTCAGGCTTGGGGCCACCCGGAGCACTGCGACTTCCAGTGGGTAAGAAGGGCTCTGAGGCCAGGACATTCTGCCTCAGGTTTTTAAAGTCTGGGCTTCTGTTTCCGGGACTAATCTTTGGGTTTCCTCAGCATCCAAGCCTCTAGTGTCCCAGATTCGCCCCAGCCCTGGAAACCACTTCTCCCTGAGCCCTCTGCCACCTTGAGGGGTCTCTGCCCCCTCAAACCCTGGCCTTCCCATGCGCTTACGGGGGGTTGCTCTCGCCTGGGCCACTCTTTCCCTCCTCCAAATCCTAGGTTTTTAACCGGCCACATTGTCTCCAGTAACACAAGGAAGAGAAATTGGGGCGGTTGAGGGGTGGGGGGGATGGTATCCGGAGGCCGAATCTAGCTATCATGGCTGTCTCCTTCTAGCCGGGACACACACGTCGCCTGAAATGTGTTTCATTATCACATAAAAGGTTCCTGTGGCGAAAGAGCAGAGAGGCAGGGCCGGCGGCCGAAAGGAGGACAATGGGGGCTGAAAGCGCTGCTCTAACCTGCTATGTTTCCTAACGCACGCCCATTGTGTGAGGGTCGTTTTAAACTACTTAGCGCGCCACCCTACCTCCCCTCACTGATCCCATCCGATAAGATGGAGTTCTGTCCCAATACATAAAAAGGATGGGGAGTGGGTGCTTTCGGAGGATTCTCCGCTTCTTGTGTCTTTCACACTTCACACTCCGGCCACCGTCTCTTTCCCTCAAACCCAGATAGCCCTCCGCCTGCCTTCCCCCAACTCTAAATATTGTAGGTTGCAGCGTTTCTTTTTTTCTCCCTCCTCCCTCTTTTATTCCTTCCTTTTCCTCGCGCCGAACGCGCACCGGTTTAAGCAACCGTGATCTGTGAATAAACAAAGTCAGTAAACAACCGAAAAAAACATTCTAGATCCGAATTCCAGGAGGATAAACTTTCCATGCCACGTCAGACTTCAGTAAATTTGCACAGATATTATATTGCCTCCCCCCTCCTTTATTATTCTTTTTTTTCCCCAGGATCCCATTGTACTTAACTGAATTTTATAACGCTGATCGATATCTTAGTAAAATATTCATTTTTAAACTAGCGGGCAGTGAAATCTTTGCTTTGTGTGCTAAAGTCAACAGTCGCTGGGTTTGAGCTCAAATAAATGCGGAGTTGCCTGGGCTGGGAGCAGTCGGCTGCCGCCGCCACCCTCCTCGTGCTGGACGCTCCGCCATCAGCCGGAACTCCGCAGGTAGGGTACTTGCCCAGTCCCGGGCCGCACCTAGGGGATCTTGGCTGTGTCCGATCCTACCCCCACTCCAAGCAGCGCGCCTCCCCTCCCCCAGGTAGTACCTAACAGGTCAAGAGCTCCGACCCCTAGGAAGAGGGAGTTTGGAGGTGGAGGTAGTAAGAAGCTAAATCCGAGAAGACTAAGTGGTTTGTGAGATGGCCTTTTTTTTGCGGGGGATTTCTAAGAATGCATAGTTTTAGAGAATGAGGAGTGGAAGAATTACGTACTCAGACTAAATCTGGGCTCTGAGTACAGTTTGGTAGGGCCCCAAGCTACAGGAAGCCACTGCTTCCTGCATCCCCTTGTGCCTGAAGATTCAATCCGAGGGCCTTGTGCTTCCCAAGGACAGTGGGTAGGTGAGGTAACACACTTTGTTTCAGGGTCGGGGTGGAGACCAGCAATAAAGGACGTGCTGGTAGAGGTGTGCTTGCCGAGGCAGAGGCTCGGGAGTGGCGACGCCTTTCCCTGACTCGCACAAGTTCGCGTCCAGCTTAGGCATTTCTCCAGAAGCCCTTGGGCCTAGGCGGTGGCCAGGGTCGATCACGTGCGGAAGCAGAGGAGAGGCAGTGTCTCTCAGAGAAGCGAGTGAAATTTTCGTTTGGGTGACAAGAAGTGACTGGTGGCCTTCACGCACACGCGCAAGGCTGCATGTAGGCATCATCCGGAGCCTTCGGGGTTACAAGCAGGGTCCAGAAGGAAAAGTCAGAAGCCAGCGGAGAGCCATTTATCACTCCACTCTCCTAGTACGTGGCTCGAAGGGGCGCATTGCGGTGCCTGCAGTTTAGAGGACTGAACAGAATCGAACGCATATTTCTAGGAGGAAGCTGGTTGAGAAAACTAGTGGTCCCAGTACCGCCAGTTGAAAATGCAGGACTCATTTTGCGAGGGTACAGAAGAAGGTGTCTTTTCTCTGGAGTCTACCAGGAACCCATCTGAAATCTGTATTCCCCCTGGGTTTTTTTCTTTAAACTGCTGGGTATCCAGCCTTGTAGGAGGCTCATGCTGGCTCCCTTACTCTTGGCCTACCTAAATTGCACACCACCCCAAGCAGAAGGCTCTTCCAGTCTGTGCCAGAATCCCCAGATTCCAAACTCAAATGAGCAGAAATCTGTCCTGGTAATTGACAGGGTCCGTTATGTGGGAACCTCCATGTATGGGAAGCTTGGGCTCCCTCCCCTCCTTCCTGCCCACTCCCGTTCCCGGAGGTGAATCTTTGTCTAACCGCTCCAGAAGAAGGCTACTTGCTCGTCCTCTGTCCTCCAAACTCCAAGTGGCCTGGCTCACTTGGCTTGTTATCTTCCCTGAATGAGATGGAATGTCTCATGCCAGGACACACGGCCAGGCTAATCGTTTTTAAATAATTAATGTCTCGCCGTTCTGCTGGTAATGTGAAGCCTTGAATCTGTCAATTACTTGTCATTAGACCTGTATCGTCCCACCGCCTTCTTTTGGCTCTTTGATAGAGCCAGGTCACCTAGCCCAGCCCACTCCACGGCTGAACGAAAGGTATTTTGCCTTTGAGAACCGTGTGGGAAGCAGCTGTGGCCCTTAATTCAGTGCGAGTTTTGAAAGAAAGACCCTCGCTGAAAAGATGTAATCTTCAAAATGGCCAATTTGAACACCTGAGCTTTATCACTCTCCTACTGCCTTCTCTTGGCTTTGTAAAGAGAAGTCAGATCTCAGAGCTTTGGGGGCCTTTTATGTGGGGATGGGGAGAAGAGAAGGGAGAGATAAGGCTTAATAGGGCAGGGGTTTAGTGTGTTTGATCAAGAAGTTACCTAAAGGTACCTTGGGGTACCTGGTTTGTTCAGGCTCAGCACATTGTCTAAGCACCAGGCCAGGGATGGGGAGTCGCTTAGACAGTGTCTACTGGAATGTGTGGGTCTGAACTGTCAGGAAAAGGGCAGGGTGTTTCCTGGCTGCTAATCTTCAGCTTGCAAGAGGAGATAGGAAAGGGAATTCTCTGAGTCCCTAACCATCCTAGGACCTGACATTGAAGAACAGTCTGTGAAGGTTATTGCCCAGAGACTTGTAGGTACCAAGTCCTGCCACACAGAAGAGGCAACACCCCCCACCCATATCCCCCATCCCTGCACCACCTGATACATGACTTACAGCCACCAGTCCCAATCTGCTGTCTGCTGAAAGCAA